CCTGGGGGGTCATTTCTCGCTTTCTGTCTCTCTGTCTCTCTCTGTCTGTCTGGCGAGTGCATGCGCCCTATAGCAAAAATAAATAAATAAAAATAAAAAATAAAATAAAATAAGTGAATGAATAAATACAATTAAATAAATAATTATTTTTAAAAATTCGAAGTGGACCCTGACGTGCCCGAGATCGCTCGGTGCCTGAGTTTCCTCATCTGTAGCGTGGGGATCCTGGCACACCCCCGGCTGGCAGTGAGGGTTAAATACAGGAGTCCGGAAAGTGCTCGGGACAGGGTGGCTCCAGGCACCTGCTCGCTGAAGCCCCCACCCAGAGCCGCCTCTCCCATCAAGCCTGACTCACTTATTTCCTTAGATCTTGGGAGTGAAAGGACATGGGGGCGGGGACCCTGGTCACACCACACGTCCTTTGGTCTCTGTCGCTCTCTCAGCCACGCACCCCGAGACAATGAAGCCTGTGTTCTTGTCCTTGCGATGAAAGAACTTCTTTCATTCCTTTGGTCAATCAACAACCCCGTTTCCTCCTCTATCCTGGAATCTCAGAATCCAAACCAGATACCCCCCACCCCAAGATGTCACGCCAGGATGGAGAATGGACACAGACGGAGTGATAGACAGGGAAGGCTTCCTGGAGGAGGCAGCGTTGGAGCTGAGTGGTTTTTTTTTTTGGACAGGTTTCTGCTATAGGGCGCATGCAGTCGCCAGAAAGAGAGAGACAGAGAGACAGCAAGAGAAAAATCACCCCCTGGAGGGGGGGTGGCCACGCTCTCCATTCTCCTCTCGGGATCTTGGGCATGCACGCACTCGCACCTGGAGTGAGTTGAAGCCGCCGGGTCCGGGACTCGAACCGTGGTCAACTCCATGGGAGTCCAGCGACATAGCCATTATGCCAACTGCTAATCCCGGGGGCTGAGTTTTGAAGGATGAATAGGAGTTTGACAATGAGGAAAAGAGACCCTTGAGGCAGAGGAGCCTGCCTGAGAAAGCCCCCTGGAATGTGAGAGAAGGAGGGGAAGGAGAAGGAGGTGACGGAGGTGTGAACGGATTGCGTTGGGCTTTTCCCTGAGGGTCCTAGGGAGCCATGGAAGGACCGTGAGTGAGAGCAGGGCTGCTCAGGTCGTCAGGAGCAGCTCAGTGCAATGCAGCCGGGGGAAGCCAGGGGGCCCCGCTGAGTACTCACCCAGGCGGAAGTGCTGGGGCCGGCTCCAGGCGCCCTGCACCCAGGCCGTGTCTGCTCGCACCTGCACGGAGTAGGCGGCGCCAGCCCGCAGGCCACGGAGGGTCGCTTGGGTCTCTGTGGGTTTCACGCGCAGCTCTGCAAGGCGAGGTGGTCATAGGGACCCCTTTCCTCCCCGGAAGCCAGGCTTCACCGTTAGGGTACCCCCCGGACCTGGTACCGGCCCAGACCAGACTGCGGTGCTCCGGGGGTGGGGGTGGGGAGCAAGCGGACCTTTCCCTGAAGGGTCTCCCTTGAGTGCACCCCGCGCCTCCAGCCTGTTTAGAAGAATAGTCTTGGGGCCGGCAGGTGGCGTGGTGGTTAAGGGCGCTGGACTCCCACATGGCTGACCACGGTTTGAGTCCCG